ACCCTAAACCCTAAACCGTATGGTAGTGTACGGTCGTGTTTGTGGGAAGTCTGAGGAGCTTCAGAGGGCTTTGTACAGGGTCGGATAGCAGACTTCAGGGTTCAGTTTTAGGCGTTTAGGGTTTAGGGTTCCGTTTAGGGTTTAGGGTTTAGGGTTTAGGCGTTCAGGGTTTGGGGTTCCGTTTAGGCGTTTAGGGTTTAGGGTTCCGTTTAGGGTTCAGGAGTTTAGGGTTTAGGGTTCAGGGTTCCGCTCAGGGTTTAGGGTTCCGCTTGGGGTTTAGGAGGTTCGGGTTTAGGGTTTAGGAGGTTTAGCCGTTTAGGGCTTATATAGGGTTCCGTTTAGGCGTTTAGGGTTTAGGGTTCCGTTTAGGCGTTTAGGCTGTATAGGGTTTAGGTTGGGCCGTTTAGGCGTTTAGGGTTTAGGGTTGCGTTTAGGGTTTAGGAGCTTTGGGTTTAGGGTTTAGGAGGTTTAGGTGGTTTAGTCTGAAGGCTAGATAGATAAAGCCTCTATGGACCATATATAGTCGCTATCTCCCAAGCCGTAAACAACTCAGCCCCAACCCTGGCCCTAAATTGAAAGCCTAAAGCCTAAAATGGACTCTGGGAGTTGACGTCTTTTGAGTGTAGCTTACGACCTCGTGGGACCAGTCGCAACGAACCAGCTTAGGGTTCAGGGTTTAGGTTTTGGGGAATTAGGGTTTAGAGGTTTAGGGTTCACGGTTTGGAGGTTTAGGGTTTAGGAGGTTTAGGGGCTTCCAAATAGCCGTAGCAGTACTGCAATACCACAAGCCCTGTTCTCATACGCAAGGCCGCTATGTGCAACCCTGTAAAAAGCTCGTCATTCCCTGCGATTTTTCAGCGCCGTTTGTTAAACACCTTGAAGAGGAACACAGACTAAACGGCCTAAACCTCCTAAACCCTAAACCCTAAACCCTGAACTCCTAAACCCTAAACCCTAAACTCCTCAACCCTAAACAGCCTTTATTAAAAAACGGAGAGTCGTCAGATGTTGCGCCTTTGCAGGTGAGCGGCCTGGGTACAAACCTGGACTTCTCTGCATCACAGGACTTGGGTTTCAGGCTTACCTGGAGGGTTTAGGGTTTCGGGGTGTAGGGTTTAGGGTTTACCAAAACTTGCTTTGGTAGGGGCCTTCTACATTCTGTGGTTGGGTCTAGTAAAAACGTACACTACTGTGGTGGGTATAAGATAGGGCATATGAGTCTAGAGTAACCCAGACTTGCGGAAACATAAATATTCCATTTAGGGACTCTGTACTTACTAGAGGGTACTGTATGGGAAGGCCCTAAACCCTAAACCCTAAACCTTAGGTTTAGGGTTTAGGGTTTGGATCCGCCCCGGGGACTGGGAAGTGGGTTTATGGGATTGAGGGGCGCGGCTGAAACGGATTCAGGGTCTTCGGTTAGGGTTTGGGGTTCACAGGGTTTATGGTTTAGGGCTTTGGGCTTAGGGCTTAGGGCTCGTGGCTTGTGTGTTTAGGGTATATTACCTTCAGGGTTAAGGATTTGTGGGTGATGTAATTGAGTTCGGGAGATCCCTAAATACTGTAAACTTTTTACTTTTTATACGGGTGCCTGTATGTCTTAGTGTTTCGGTGTCTTCCTGTCTAGGATAGTTTCAGGTGCGGTAGTTGCCGCAAAAGGAGCCTTATAGAAGGTCTATATACCTCATGGAAGCCTTACAGAAGCCTTAAACCCTAAACCCTAAACCCTTCAGGGTTTAGGGTTTAGGGTTTAGCCTAAACTCCCCACCTGTAGTTTCCTTTAATCCTTTCTTATAATCCTCCACTGTTCAGTCGAAGTCCCTCCTGGCCAACAGAACATCCGGAAGGTTGCGGGTGTGCCTTGAGCTACCGACACCCTGCCTGTTTTGTTTTAGAGGCCCCTTTAAATTCTATGTTTTAAAGCTTCAAAGTACGAACTTACAAGCAGATAAGTTATGGTAGTTTCAAGGTTCAGGTTTTGAGGTTCAGGGTTGTTACTTCTAAGGTTTAGGTTTCGGTTTTCAGGACGAGGGTTTAGGCTACACTATAACCCCGAACCCTAAACCCCTTCACAAACAACGCAGGACCACTACGTGCTCAGTGCAGATCAGGTCGTTCGACAGCTAACGCTCTTGGCTTCCGCGCCCGAAGCACGCAGCACCCGAGTGACGGTTTCTCCACCCCTCACAGAGACTCGGTTAGGGTTTAGGGTTTAGCAGGGCTACATAGATTTCGTAACATTCCATAAACGGCCCCATAGATCTTGTTCTTTCTTGTAAGGAGTTCAGGGGAGTTGGGGCAATATAGAAGCCTTAATAATTGCATGTATTATTCCTTAGGGTTCCTTGTTCTAACCATAGTATAATGGACACCAAAACCCTATTTTTATTATTAAGGCCCCTATATTAGCCTACTTTGCTGAGTTCTTCGTCTGATTTCTCAACGCCTAGCATTGGGAAGCCCTAAGGCCTAAACTTGGCCCTACACCTAGACCCTTAGGATGTTCGGGGTAGGTGTAGAGTACCATTAGGATTTTTTGCCATGAGTAGCGATGTCCCGAATGTTTGTGCATGGTTGTGGTGGTTCTTATGATACCTTTGATGATATAAATCCTGCATTACCTTAAACTATGGGAATTATGGTATTTTCCTCACTATGGGTAATGCAGGGTTTATATCATCAACCGTAATACTTTAAGGCAAGGGTGAGGTTTGTGGACACAGGCCTAGTTTTGCGATCCCATCACAACTTGCTGGGGTTGCCCTTCAGTACCCTAAACCCTAAACCCTAAACCCTAAACCCTAAACCCTAAACCCTAAATGTTGGGGACATAAGAGGTCGTGGCAAAACCCTGAAGTTACTATAATACCTAAAGACTACTTGGAGGTTCATGGGTAGCTAAAAATACCGTTATAAGTAGGGTAACTATACTTCTAAGCCATATTCGGGAACTTATAACTCTACTTCTAACTACCCATGAACTTCAAATTACTTGACCACAGATAGCCTTCCTTGAGAGTGGTTTCATTCTGTTCTTAAGTCATATATGCTCAACAAGGTAGGTTGTAGGATCCGGACCCGATAGCCCAGGAAGGCACCTACAGCGTCCTGTCACCGGTGCCAATTGGCGGTATGCCAGTTCCCCGTGTGGCGAACGTAACTGTGAAAGGCCTCTACCCCGGCTTGCGCTCCACTCAGTGCCTTGACCGGGGTGTTTAGTTCTATGTGTGCTTCTAGTTCTGTTTGTGCTTCCCCCAAGCCCTAAATTCTAGACCAAAGAACCCTCAATTTGTAGAACCCTTAAATAACTAAACCTTATGGTAAGGCTTAAAGCAACCCTTAAAGAACCCTTCAGCCAATAGGAACCCTGAAAGAACCGTGTAACAACCTCCTAGACCAACCCTGAAAAAAGGGGTTCAAGAAGCTCCCGTAGAGCTGTACAGAACCCTTATAGAAAATAGAGTATTCCTGTAAAGAACCGTCTAAAAGCAATCTCAACCGTTTTAGTAGCCCTTAGGGTAACAAAACCCTTAACCCCTATGATAGAGGCAGCCCTTATAGAACCCTTGACCCTAAATCCCTAAACCCTAAACCCTAAACTTTGAGTCGGCCTTTACACCCTCTTAAAGTATCGAAACCCTTAACCATTGTGGTAGCCCTTGTAGAACCCCTTCGAGCAACCCCTTCACCCTTAGTCTAGGGCATTGTCAGGTAGGTAGTTACCGGTATAGGAGCCTTCTAGAAGGTCTGTATACCTTATAGAAGCCTTCTAGAAGCTCTATATTCCCTAGACTCCCCACCTGTAGTTTCCTGCAACTTAGAGTCAGCCTTTGACCCTAAACCCTAAACCCTTAACCCTTAACCCTTAACCCTTAAACCCTAACCCCTTTGCGGATCACCCGAAGCGGCAAGGTATTTCGTTCGCTTTGCTCCAGAGGCGAAGTTGGCGAAGGTGCGGGGAAAATCCGATGCACCGGCTTGGTTTGGTTTAGCGTTTCCAAAAAACCCTAAACCCTAAACCCCCAAACCCTAACCCCAAACCCCTAAACCCTAAACCCAAAATCCTAAACCCAAACCCCTAAACCCTAAACCCTAAACCCTAAACCCCTAAACCCTAAACCCTAAACCCCTAAACCCTGAACCCTAAACCCCTAAACCCAAAAAAATAATGTTCAGGGGCGTGCAAAGGTTCAGGGTATCAGGTTTAGGGTCCGTAGGGCTCAAGGGGGTTTAGGGGTTTAGGGATTAGGGCTTAAGGTTTAGGGGTTTAGGAGTTTAGGGTTTAGGGGTTTAGGGTTTAGGGTTTAGGGCTTAAGGGGGTGTAGGGGTTTAGGGTTTAGGGGTTTAGGGTTCGCGGGTTTAGGGTATCAGGTGTAGGGCTTACTATCCGATTACTATGGGGCCATCATGGTTAGAATAGGTTCGACAAGTTCCACAAGCGATACGATAAGGATACGGCAGGAAACAGGCTGTGAAAGGTTTGGGGCTTCACCATACACCCGAAACCCTCTTCATTAGCCCTAAGCCCGAAAATCAAACCCTTCTTAGTCTAGGACATTTTCAGGTGGGTAGTTACCGTTATAGGAGCCTTATAGAAGGTCTATATATACCTTATAGAAGCCTTACATACCCTAAACTCCCCCCTGTAGTTTCCTCTAACCTAAGCCCTAAAACCAAACCCCTCTTAGCCCTAAGCCCTCAACCCGCTAAACCCTAAACCCTAAACCCTAAACCCTAAACCCCTAAACCCTAAACCCTAAACCCTAAACCCTAAACCCCTAAACCCCTAAACCCTAAACCCTAAACCCCAAGAAATCCGAAAATCTGGGTGCAGGGTCTCCCCCACCCTCAACGAAGACCCCACAGACCCCCTCAAGGATCCTGAATTGGGTTTAGGGTTTAGGGTTTAGGGTTTTAAACTGGCCCTGAACCCTAAAAGCCCTCAGCCTCAACACCCTAACCCTAACTCCTTAGCGTTCAGGGTTTAGGGCTTAGGTCTAAGCCCTGAACAGGTGCTCGTATTAGACCTTAGGCCTTGAACTCTACACCCTCAGTGTCATCAGGTGCTCCTTCTTGAAGATGCGAAGCTGGGCTTCAAACGATGTCTGGCCTGGGCCACGCTACCGGGCAGCCAGCTGAGCGTGCCGCCCAAGTCCAAGGCCACCAAACAGATCTGCCGTAGGCTTTTGGGCTCATAGGGTTTAGGGGTCTTGGGCTTAGATGTAGATGGCGTCGGGTTTCGGGTTTGGACTTAGATGGTTCAGGGTTTGGGGTTTGCAATTAGATGGTTTGAGGGCTAGGGTTTCGATTTAGATGGTCTGGCGTTAAGGGGTGATCTTGGATAATGCATCCCGCTTGGGGCTTTCGTTGTTGGAGTTTTGCGTTTTTTTTGGAGTTTGGGCCTGAGTGCTTCAGGTCCAAAGTCTATGAGTCTATAGGATTCATAGATCGTGCAGCCCCTTAAAATGCAAGGCAGACAGCACGCACAGGAATAGGATTCATAGATCGTCCAGCCCCTTAAAATGCAAGGCAGACAGCACGCACAGGAATAGCCAAAGAGGGCGAGTCGATCTTTGCAATAGCGATTGATGATGTGTTTGCCGTAAACCCTATTCTTGTTGTTACGCCGACGGCTACAGCTACTCCTGCTGCTGCCGCTGCTAGGAAGACGGCGATGGGCATGACCACGGCTGCCTCTATTACTTCCACCGTTTGAGGATTTTGGGTTACAGGGTTTAGGGTTTCGGGCACATGTCGACAGGGTTTTATGGCTCGTAAAGTTTATTAATGGTCCGGCAAATCGGAAACTGAAATAGGGTTGTAGAATGTAGATCTGCACCGCCCAGAAGAATAGCTAAAGCTGAAGGCCTCCTGAACACATAGTTGATGGATGTGACTTAGAAGTTCATGAATAGCTCTTAATTAACTAGTGGGTTTAGATGGGTAACCATATTTATAACTCAAGTATATACCAGAATATAGGGGACTTATAACCGGCCCATAGCTACCCATGAACCTTCAAGGGTCCACAGTCTACGCCTCAGACCCGCAGCCATCATCTGGCTTAGTACCTGTAGTTCTCCGAACTGGGCTCTGGCGCAAAGTAAGCCACCTGCATAATAAGGACCCAGACAGGACCTTAATTTGTCTACGGTTGAACCCATGGGCCCCTAGTATGGGCCCCTAACTCTGGGACCCTAATATACCTACTATATACCCTATATATACCCTTAAGGGACCCTAGAAAGGCCTAAGGGTCCGTATTAGGGGCCCATACTTCTAACCTTGGAATTTGGAGAGTGCCAGGCCCTAAACCACACAGGCCTGCAACCCCCAAACCCTATATCCGTCAAGCCTCCAAGCACTAATCCCCGATTTCCATCTCTCAACACGCCTCTCCAGTTTCTGAACGCCACCATCATTTTCGCCGACTATGTCCTGGGCGTGCCCCTCGCGAAAGATCAAGCGGGGCAGCTGGAGACCTGGATTTGCACTTTGTCTCGGGTTCAGGGTCTTTGTTTCTTTCGGGTTTAGACGGGTGGGTAGCACCACGATCTTAGAAGGATACTTGTTTTTCAAGGTGGTGTTCACTGGCTTTCAACAGGTTCCATGGCATTTTATTTGGGTTCCGTGCGGATGTCTTGCAGTGACTGTAGGGTGTGGGGTTACAGGGTCTGGGTTTTCGGGGTTCAGGGCGTGTATGTACAAACTTCAAAAAATAAGTGTGTGTGTGTATATATATATATATATACACATATAATGTGTTTTTATTTATAACATTCGTTCGCTTTGGGTTTCAGGTTGCACGTTTTAGGGCTTCAGCGTTTAGGGTTAAGGCCTCAATGTCCTAACCTTTTTTCGATTCCACCCCCCAAAGACCAGGGTAGTTCTCTAAATTAGGGTCCCTTTCTTGGTCCCCCAATATTAACCCTAAACCCTAAACCCTTTCCCAACATAGTACGGCACCCTTAGAAAAGGACCCTAAAAAGGGACCCTAACTTAGAGAGCTACCAATGTGCTGGGAAGAAGTCGGTCCAGGGGTTTAGAGGTTAGGGTTTAGGGTTTAGAGTTTAGGGTTTAGGGTTTAGGATTTAGAGTTTAGGGTTTAGGGTTTAGAGAGGGTTTAGGGTTGTTTTCTAAATTAGGGTCCCCTTTCAAGGGTCGTTTTTTTGTAAGGGTGCCGTACTATATCGGGGAGCTAGAAAGGGACCCTAGTTTTAGCGAAGTACTCATGTGTTGAACGTGGAAGTTTGGGCTCTAAGATTTGGGATTTTGGGGATTTTGGACTTGGGGTTCAACCCTTAAACCCGACACCCTAACGCTAATGCTCAAACCTTAAACTTAGGTTTTTAGGGTTTAGGGTTTTTAGGGTTTGGGGTTCAGGGTTTGTTAGGGTTTGCCTTAAACATTTGGGGCAGCCCTTGCATGCCAAGGGCGTCGCTGGAGGTGCGACGTGGACCGTTTTCTACCCGCGTGAGAATGCCTCCACATGCAGCTGCCCGGCTTGAGGTCAGTCTTCGGTGCAAGGACTCATGTTTTACGACCACCTAGACCAACCAATGTGCAAGTAGTTAAAGATGGGAAATGACCCTAAAGCTTTCTAACTCAAGCTTTCCATAATGCAGGGACATTTTTAAAGCTGCCTTGGTTACGCTACTTGAAGCCTAAACCCTATACCCCTAAACCCCTAAACCCTACACTGTAGCTCTGTAAACTCCGCAGTGAGAGGTGTACGATGATTTTAGGGTAAACCCTAAACCCTAAACCCTAAACCCTAGTGAGAGGTGTATGATGATTTTAGGGTTTGCAGTTTTGCAGTCGAAACCTGGAGAGCCCGTAAAACCCCTAGATCCTGAAAGCCATGAAAGCCCTAAAGCCTCCTAAACCCGAAACTCTAAACCGAAACCCTGTCAACGTGTGAGGATGCCTGGTGTAGGGGCCATTAGGCCATAAGGCCTTCGGATTTCTATCGGGCCGCGGCAGAGAAATCTGAATAATTAGCAAGGGTATTCTCTTGTCGTCCATCATAACCCTAAAGCTCAACATCGCCCGAAAGCCTTAAATCGTAGGGTCTTTGGGCCCAGAAACATTAAACATATGAGTCCTTAGAGCCTTAGGGTAAATCGAAACACATTGCACCATACCCCAGCGCTCTGCTTCAAGCGCTCAGGCCGACGAGTCTGTCTTTTTTTTTCAAGAAGTGGAGGCTTGGTGTCGAACAGGGGCTTGTCACCGGGGCTTAGGGATGAGATTTAAAGTTCTGGGTCGGAGAAACCCTCAGGGTCCATGTACTCATATATAGTATATACATTGGCCCCAAAGTACCTCTACAGGGACTACTTTAAGGCCAAAGTATCTACTATTTGGGTACATGGACCCTTAGGGAAAGTTATGAAGAGTGGAGGGTTATGCTGGTTGGAGACTGGGACATGGCTTTTCGATAGAAAGTAACTTGCATTTATCAGCCGTTTCTTGAACATGGATACGGCGGGAGTAAAGATGACCGTTTAGGCATAGAGTAAGGAGATGGGGATGCTTGCTTGGTGGGTTTAGGGTTTAGGGCTTAAGGGTACGCTTGGAAGGGGGGAAGCGCCCTGGGCGGAAGGCCCACTTCTCAACAAAACGGTACTGCCACGTCGAAAATCCAAACAAAGCCCAGAAGCAGAGGTGTTTCTTTCAGCCCGCTGTAGAGGTCCTGACCAGCTTCAAAACTAAGAGTCCCCGTAATGTCAAGGTCAACGTGTGGGCTTTCTGTCTAGGCTGAGTGTGCTCTGAAGGCCGTACCCCTAAACCCCAAGAGTAGCTTCGGGTTTTTGCGATTTAGAGCTTTAGGGTTTCACATGTGGTCAAATCCTCAAGTGTAGAAACTGTTTAAACGCGTAGGGCTCAAATTCTTTTAGGCTTTGGTTTTAGCTTAAAGTGGGGTTTACATGCAGGGTTTCGGGCTCGAGTCCCAAAACCTCTGAAACGGATCAACTTTGCCCAAACAAACAAAAAAACCTAAGCCCTACGCTCAGCCCCTATCTGAACCCCGAAGAAGCTATCTCTTTGGGGTTTTTTTAAGGAAATCATAATCATAGTTTAGGATTTAGTACGTAATAAGAAGCAGAAGGAACACTGTGTGAACGTATTTAGATTTTAGGTTTCTACATTCATCCCAGACCCTGAGTAAAGGATCGGGCTATAGCTTGGAAATAGATGGGCTTAACATATATATATATATTGTACATATATGGGTTACTATTCATGATGTAGGGTTTAGGGTTTCTCTGTTTTTGTATTTTTGTTGAGCCCCTTTTGCCAGCAGCAGGTCATCGGGCTAAGGGTATAGGGTTTTGGAAGTCCCTGAAAGCTCATCCCCANNCCCCCCCCCCCCCCCACCCCCGCCTACAACATCCCCACACCCTAAAACCGTAAAGCCCCAAATCCTAAAAGCAGTACACTGCAAAGATAAATCCAAAAACCCTTAAAAGCCTTAACCTCTCAGATCACATAAAAAAAAGCCCTAAACCCGAAATCCCTAAA